CTTCCTTTATCACGAGGACAAGGAAGAATAAGCCCGGCTCTAAGGTACTTATGAATAACGCAGTCCAATGTATATAAGGATATATATTATATAAGGACCAATAAGAAACTTCAGCAATCATCCATCGAGTCAGACGACATCTTCTTGAACAAGGCATCTCATAGAAATGAATATTCTGGGGTTTCTATTTTTCGTTTCTGGTGAGTTTCTTATTCAAACAAAAGTTGTAAAGTGTCTTGCCATTGTTTAGTACGTGCCACTTGCATTATGCAAAGTACAGGTCCGTCCGGCCAACCAACTCGTGAAGGACTGATGATGACATTCCATTAACGATCACATATATCTACCTCGAATGATGCGAAATACTAATAGTAGCTGTATGATTCCAAACCTTGCTTGCTTTAAAACAACAACAAACGACATTTGAACGTCTGTCATATGTTTAGCATTAAGACCAGCAAAYACTATACTCGAACAAGACTACATATATTAGAATGCAGAAGCGGAAACCCCATGCATGGTTAATTACCAGCAATTTAATGAATTAACTTCATGACACTAAACGAAATTTGGTAGGATGATTAATCATTTCACAAACTACAAACTTCAGACGCTTGTCCTAGTGCAAGAAGGTTATATCAATTAGTTTACAAAGACAACTAGATGCACCTCGATCGAATATATATATATATATTTATAAAATGTACGTAAATAATAACAATTTATATGATATCGTCTACTCTGAATTTTTTTTAATATTTGATATTTTAGTTTTACAGTTTCTGACCTTCACATGTGGATTGCCACATCTCGGCAGCTGCACGTTCAAAGATTAYACTCTGAAGATGCGTTCGTGTACAACCGAGTTCTTCAAGAACATGACAAGCGACCCTAAAGGGCCTTGCAGGTCAGTATCACTCTTTGTTGTTTTTTCTGTCTGTAATAAAATTCCTTCACGACTGGCCTTTGTGGTCCACCGGTACATTTTTCATAAGTGGTCCTGGTACACTTTCCATTAGTGGTCATGGTACACTTTTCATAAGTGGTCCTGCTACACTTTCCATCAGTGGTCCTGGTACACTTTCCATCAGTGGTCCTGGTGCACTTTCCATAAGTGGTCAGGTACTCTTTCCATCAGTGGTCCTGGTGCACTCTCCGTGTCATAAAGTTTGCGATTCAGCTTCGTTTTCAAGTTACTTGATCGCCGCCACGTTGGTGGTATTAATGTTGAACTATAGATTTCTAACCAGCCCTCTTTGTGAAAACCACCATGTCTTTTTTTCTTGCCTCTCTTGGGAATGTTTCCAAACCCACAACAGGTATTATTCCTTGCAATTGCAGCGTGTCCCACAATCTCAGAGTTGCCACCAGGAGATGCCTTGAAACTTTTTTTTTCTCGATCTAGGCCCAAGTTCACGGCTCTCAAATATTGCGCGGTGAAGAAACTCAAACCATGCGTGCCATCGCTAAGTGGGAAGGAAACCATTCAAGATGTGGTGGAACAAAACTTCAAGGAAAAGACATACTGTGAGAATGCAGGGATAGAGTTTGCCACACTTTATCCTAAAGTCAGTTCAGTCCCGTGTGATCAGGCGTATTATCATGAAGTACCAGGATGCTATAATATGACGTTAAAGCTGTGGCGAGAGAACAAGTCTGACAAAAGACTTTGCTGGTAATAAATAGCTAATTTTATGTCAAGGAACAAAAGAGAGGTGTTTAGACCAACCCTAGGCCTTGTTTTTGGTTTCTCTAATATTAAGTTCACCCTCTCCGAGCGGAAACRCTGGTCGCATATATGCTCGAAACGTGTGAGCATGCTCGTAATCATAAACGTGTACGCATTCTCGAAATATATGCAAATTAAAAAGAAAAATGGCAAGAACTCGGTTGCAGCCTTATAAAACGTAAATGAGGCATTYGTATCATAAGTTTAACAGCCATATATATTACAAAAAGGTATAACCGGACGTTGGTTCTGAAGGTCAATATGCAAACTGAAATAAGCTTCAAGCTTGCCTCATAAAWATGGACTTCACAAAATGTCACAACTTATATAAAGTTATCACTAATTCTATTGTTAATCTATCTTGGTGTAACAAAATGCGTGTTTTGAATTGGAAAAATAGGACGCCAAAATAACGGTATGATAGTGTTCTAATGGCGTTCACTCCTAAAACCAGTTAAATGTAAACACAACGACATCAAATCCATGCCACTTTCACCACCAATATAACAATCCTTTGTGACWCTGTGTCGTCCGTGCCTCCTCATCTTTCTCAAACAAAAAGAAATACCAAACTAGTCCAGTTTCTCTTGGATATACCAATTAAATGCAAGAGAAAGCAAGGGTATAAGATTAACTATTTTCTTTCTTGTTTTTTCCCCAGTGAGTATGCCAAGGCTAAATTGTGTGACAAATACCTCATYGCGGTTCACTGCATTGTTTTCCGCGCCTACCGTGAAGCAAAAGAGTTGGTAGATTTACATTATGATGATTATAACCCGTTCTGTGTGCCATCAACCCTAAAAACAACCAATACTGTATGGAGTATTTCGCACCAGCGTAGCTTTGTCACCGGCTTGTTGCCGTACTCGCTCGTGGTCATCATTGGATTCCATGTGCTCCTATGCTGATACTTCGAGTTTTTACTTGCAACGTATTTTATCTTGTCATATTTTTCATCTAAGTACTAATAATACTGTGGCGTTGTCYCTTCAACTAGCGACTATTTATCTAAGGACAATAAGCTGGGTCTCTTTCAGTACCATTTCTTTGAATTTTTTTAGATACAGTCAATTCAAAAAATGTTGTCGTCGACCAACTCAAGCCTACGCGACTGGACCGAAAGGAACTCTGGGTAGCAATCATTGAAGCCGAATTGACTCTATAATTTTATCTGACTAGTTATGCCTGGTTTACAGCACGAACCTTCGTAGGCGAGCGGGAAGTGTTGAAGGAGACGTTCACTAATGCCTTCATATTTTCGAAATTGTGAACTGAATCATAACTACTTTGTTTTTCTTTCCCTAAACCCAAAGACATGCATTTGATGRATTGTTTCTCGCCATTATCATCTTATAACTAGCGGGAACAATTAATTCAGAACGAATATTTAACCGCTTCATTGATTTTTACCCATATTTCTTTCGGTCCAGTCGCGTAGGCTTGAGCCGGCAACGTTTTTTGAATTGACTGTATACCATAAACCATACCTTTTTACTGGTACGGCGGCCATCTTGAATTCTATCATTGTCTTCGGTTAGAGAATGTGCATATGGATGCCAAGAGGGAGCAAATATTGAAAAAAATTACTCACAGCACAGTGACTTTTAGTAAAACTTTACACTATTTAATGTGAAAGACATCTAATTACCAATTGAAATTGCTGGTAGATGAAGCGATATGTAAACCGCCAAAGCGTAAAATCATTTTGAAAAAGTAACTTCGCCACTATGTTTTATACTGCCGACCAAATATATCTACGTTTGCTCCCTGGGCATCTCATAATTCAAGATAACTGCTGTAAGGAAACTAAGAAAATACTTGAATTAGGGGATTAGGTTGAAGGAAGGAAGGAAGGAAGGAATGATGAAGCCAGAAGACAAGAAATCTTCAAGGAAGAAAGGACGTTCTACAAGTCAGATACGATTTTTTAGCCGCTGTATTTCACGTTTTGACAGCTTTATTAGAGCTTCTACATGTCGACATAAGTACCTCTATATCAGATACGCTGGCATCGGCAAAGCTTAAGGCTTGGGCAACGTATTATGTAGTAGCAAAACATACCTCATAAATAGAAACCTAAGTGGTTAAAAAACTGAGTAGAACAGCGCCTAGCTCTTACCGTGGTTCCGTTAAGTAACGACTAGCAGGAAATATTATAAAAGGTCGGTCAACAAAACGTAAAAACACTTCAGGAATTATGCTTGAATTGTTTTAGTTCCGTGTGCAATGTGTCAGTAATTTATATGATATATAAATAAAAATACTTCGTCCTCCCTTTTTTTTTCAATTTAAGTAAACTATTTATCAAGGTTAACCACATAGAGTGAACAATAGTCAACGTAATACATAGCCGTAGAAAACTAATTCCATTGTTTTTATTATTTTAATTTTTTTGTTTCACGGACCAAGTATAAAGATCAGTCTATACATATAAACTATTTACTAAAATACTAAAATGGAGAGTTTTATATCGTATCAGAAAAGTACTAATAATTCTGAAATCATAGCAAATTCCGAGTTGGCTTTGWGGATAGGAAACTGCTACTATGGCTTGGATGCCAGTTTTAAGCACTTCTAGAAGACAAGTGTCTTCACTAGCCTTGAGTAAATTTACCTTATTTGACGATAAATCGTTCAAGTTCAAGGGCGTTTACCGAACCAGAGCAAAATTTATTGTTTTGGGTGAGCCAATTTCCTTTTTATTCTTTTCGTCCGTGATTTTGTTATGTTTTAGTAATAGTGGAAGCACTAAATCCTTGAACATTAATTAGTACTAATTAGTACTATTTCATACAGAATCCTTTGTTTCCTATTGTTTGTTTATCACCATTTAGTACTAAAAGTTAGTATTTGTTTCACTGTTTTAGTGCGTGCACTCTACTGATTTTTGAGTTTTCTTTTTTATGTTATTTATTTATTCTTAATCATGTTCAACTAAAAAGGACAGGTTTTTAACCTAGGCAGAGGGAGAAAGGAAAAATCCTACAGTCGTTTATCTTATTTTCTTAATTTTTTTTTCTTACCTCTTTATCCTTGCTTGGATCCAAATACCTGTTAGCATAGTTTTCACGATTTTTCCTAGAATCTATGCTTTAAACCTTGAACAACCGGATCCTGACATTAAGTTGTCCGACCTCGAATTCACATTTTTTACTTGAAAAAAAGGAGGGGAAAAAAGCTGGTTACATTGTTGGGATATATATTTCCCGTCATAATATTATCCTTAGGTGTGGTGTTGTTTTAGTTTCAGTGTTCCTGGAACATAGCAGTGGAGCTTTGCCAAATATTGGTAGTTGTACGTACAGAGAGTACATTAACAAAATACGCTTTTGTATAACAACATTCATTGTAAATATGAGAAGAGACCYACAAGGACAGTGCAGGTAAAGTGTACTACCACTTTTAACGGATCGCAGACCAAGTTCATTCACACATCTACCTATCGTTCTCCCTTCCCACTTTAACTTATGATTGTCATTCCACTTTCTAATTATCTATCRATTGTTGCATTTTAGAATTTTATTAAAATTATCGATAAGTGTATACATCAGAATTTAATCATGTCATTTCAAAGAATACCTTTTGGTATCAACTCCTATGTTTCGAGCCCGCCGACAATATTTAAAATTGAGTGTAAGAACAAGTGCAAATGAGATTGACTGACCACTATTATTCTAGTATTTCACGAGTTGAATGATTCCTTTTCCTTTTTCCGATAGTTTTCTTTATTTGGTCCCCCCCTTTTTTCTCTCTTAAGCTTCATTACACAATGATTATTAACTGCATATTAAGGATCATTATCGTTACTCTACAGTCCAAAGCTCGAGGCTCTCAAAGATTGCATGGTAGAAAAGGTCCACCAGTGTTATGTAAGTCTCTCTAAGAGTGAAATACGAGGAATTGTAGTCCCTCTAGTAAAAGAAGAACGCTTTTGTGACAATGCTGGAATCAGTGACCCTTATCTTCACCCCCAAAAACATCGAGTGCCGTGTTCTTCGACCTACTTCCAGAAAGCTTATGGATGTTATAAWGAGACATTGGTTCTGTGGCGAACAAACAAGACTGACAATAGGCTCTGCAGGTACAACATCTGACTTTCATTATTTAATTAATTGAGATTTTTAGCAGTAACAGAGAACTAACCAATAAACTTAAAAGGTGTATGGAAAAATTCAAATATCGTATTCTGAAAATACACCTAGCATAAACGATGGAACTTGCGCTTTAAACCTATATAGTTGGTCCTCAGTTAAATGCCATTTTAACATATTTAGAATTCAAAACTTATAAATATAGTTTCATTCCAGCGTTTATTCAGATGCCATCAAGTGCGAGAAGTCCCTCATAGATGCAGAATGTTGGTACACTGGTGTAACCAAAGAACTGATGGAGTTGAATTACGATGGCTGGAATCCATTCTGCGCACCACTTCAATCACCAGTCCCAATTCTTAACAAGAAAAATGCTGCACCGGATAACTTAATTATTCAYGATGGTTTGACGTTAATCTTGTCTCTGTTGACCTCCATAGCAGCGGCTCGGTACTCGGTCTAGTTAATAACTTAATCACGATACTTTAATACTTATAACGCGCATATTTCATATGTATATACCTACTTGCAAGAACGTTGTCATACGAAAATAGAACATTAGTGATTTAGTGGGATAGGAATTATATTAAAAAACAAAAGAAAATCACTGAAGCTGAACTTTTTCTTTTGTATTCCTTTCTCACTAAATTACTAATGTTCTAATATCGTATAACAATGTTCTTGCAAGTAGKTGTATATGTATGKTAGTAAATTTATAGCTCGATTTAGCTTCAAGCTAGACTAGATAACATCATGAACTGAATTATTGACGGCGTTTATTTGTGGTTTTAAAGGCGTATGAAGAAAAATATAATAGTTTGTAAACTTGATGTATTTCCTCGTCAATGACGAACCTTTCTAAAAATYATCTGGAATGTGATGCTAACATGGAAATACAAAAGAAATACCACAAATTCCATCGAGAAAAAATGTGATTTCTTTTGTATTTACATGTTAGCCTCGCATCCAAGATAATTTTGASAAGATTAAATCAGCAATTGTATCAGGTAAAATAAAATACAAGAATAAAAATTTTTAGAAAATAAACAGTGATTCGTGTGCGATCTTTTACGTGATAGTGATCATTTTCGAAATGCGCGACGCTGATAAAAGTATCTCGTATCTCAGATTCGAAAGAGGCATTTTCGGGCAAGACTACGTGCRCTATGGAAGATACATACACAACCGCTCCTCGCAAGATATTCGTCGGTTTTCGGAGTAAATTCGCTAGCCCGACTAAAGCAAGGAACGCCTGCCATGAAGTGTAGCGCGCGCACGTAAACAAGAACTACAAGGAACAACTGCTATATCTTAGAATACGTGCGATAAAATAGAAGATAAACCAACACAATCAAAATTTTAACGTGCTCCCTTGACACAACTTTTAAAATTATGKTAATGAAGGAATACTTTGAAGTTTCTTTCAGATGGGAAGCAGGATAACAACTTTTTGAAAAAATATAGTTAACTTCAGACGAAATTATTGACCGCCTTTAACTCTATGGTTTCCAAAGGTTTCGTTATCACACTGCCCGAAAAYGCCTCGTTTTAGTGTCTGCGCCTGCGATATTTATGAAAGTGCTCGCGCATTTCGGAAATCGTGGAGAACTGGAAACGAGGAAATTAATGTTATGCATAGTCATATGGCATGTCTAGATTTACATTTCAGGGTTTCGAGTTTCGAACGCTTTACTAGA